GCGTAGAACACAGGTGTCCTCACTCAGAGCACTTTCCGAAACTTTAGAAGAACTACATACGACCTAAATTAGAGGTTAGTAACGACTTTACACTACCACCTGAGAGGAGGCCAAAACCTCTTGGAGAATATCCAGAGGCGAGTCAGAGGGTGTTGTAGGGATGCGGCTAAAACCACACGAAGATAGGCTAGAGGTCATAGATCTTTACCAGTTACCGTAGGTTACGTGGTGACTTGATAACGGCTGGAAAGATACTGAGTAATCCAAGTCACTCAAACAGCGGATATTACCTAACGGTCAGTATAGCTATTCTTGTCGGAACAAAAAAAATTGACCATCAGATGGCGAAAACCCTTGTGCGTTTGCACTTCTCTATTCAAGTGTGCTGTCAGTAGAATGCATTACCTGCTGAGGTGATCGTCGCTTCATCTGTCGATAGCTTGAAGAAAAGTTTGAACAGCTACGAAGTAGTATATGGCTTGTGGTCACCTAGCTGAGATTTGGATTAAGCTGAGGCAGCCAACTGACGTGTTGATCCAACGCTCTGTTGTCTTCATGCCGGTTCTCTTACATTGCCATGATTATCGTGGATTTGATTTACTCGTCTACTTCCCTATTAGGTACCTTACCTCTCCAGTTAATATAACACTGCTCATACCGCCACCGTTTCTATTTTCACCCCTACTAATATTTTCCCTTTCTTTTACAACCAGTGCAAACAGCTAGCTATCTGGCGATACGAAATTTGGGAAACCCGTTTGAACCTTAGTCGCAAAACAAATCGTACACTTTTGTTCTAACACCCAACCATCTGTCGGGTTTGGCAGAACTACAGAAGGCAAGCAAATGGTTCTATGGGATTGAAATCCACCAGCGACATTGAACCGTTACTCAAGATCCAAAAGCGAGGGTGAAGAAACCAAACGGTTTATACAGTCTAGTAAAGCAGCTATTGGATATTGGTTAGTGGGAATGATGGAGTATTCTTGTCGAATAAATACCGACAGAAAGTTAGGAAAACCAGCATAAACCTTGTACAGAAATGCATCAATGCAACTTACCACAAGTCACAACAGAATACAAAGAGGAGTTAGATGGAGAAAAGGAAAACTTGAGGTAGACAAAAGCATATCAGAGAAGGGAGAAAATAAATGAGGTCTAGTGGAAACTTTCAAAATCTCTAAAATGACGAGAAATGCAAGCATTCGTTCTGTTTTTGATCCTTTTTGATCCATATTACTAAGTTTCCTATAATATCTCAGCTCTACAATAGGATGAAGTAAACTGTTGCATAGCATACTTGTCCTTTGACGGTTAGTTGAATATCTCTTCTCATCTCAAAGGCGGCGCAATTAGGTAAATGCCATATGGGCTTTTGTACTCAAACTGAAATGTCGTCAGCAGGTGCATTAAAGTTAATGGAACTTCTAAATTAAGTGAGATTAGTCCATTCCGTCGCTTCACTCTCTAACCTAAAACCAGGAGCGGTATACAACACCTGACAAGTGCGAAACGCACACCAAGCGTACTCAGATTTCCACTCAAACAGTTCAAGAGACTGCATTTTTAAGCATTTCCGGCTAACGAGACTGTCTTTTGAGTACTTTAGGTCAGTCAAGTGCCTTTCTGGGAATTAGTCAATCCCTGAGAAGTCGAAGGTATTTAAGTTTATGTCCGTTACATATCTATATAAAACTCAAAAATATGTGTAGGGGATATCCTCACCAGACACTACTGGTTGTCTTTACTTCAGATGACAGCTACCTATAGCTTGATGTGGATGCTTGAGTTCGACTAGAGCGCTGTGATTCTCATCATATAGTTCCTTGGTATTCTCTTCACTGTCAGACACTGATGCGACACTTCTTGGTTAACGATGTTGACTGCTGCCTTCAGATCAAGAAATATGGTTAGTGTCAGGCGTGGATTGATATGTCTACTCTCCAAAACTTGTCAAAGGGTAAAGATCAGATTGACGCATTCTTGTGAAGCTCTGAAAACTAACTAGCTTTTAAAAATTCCATTTAGGCGTCAAAGGACCATGGATCTTTAGGCTCTGAGGTGCGATGTCAGTCATACTAATTGCCCGTGTGGCTCTCACAGGGAGACTTCTTTCTTATCGACTGGAGTGACTAGCGATCTGGACTAGTCTAGTAAGTCTACTTCTGAGAATTCCGAACTGTATCAAAAGTATTGTGAAAACTAAAGTGATCATTGTCATCTCGATATACTAGCTAGTACCTCAGTTACCGTAATGCATAATTTGCTAGCTCTGTTCTCAAAAGCTTATGGTGGTAAACCGTCAGGTTCTACAGCGTTGGAGCGTTTAAACAGCATTTTAAACTCCTTGAGAGTTAGATGATCTTTACCTACAACTTATTTGGGTTAAAATGAAGCTATGGCTCATTGCTGTAGGCGTTCGACTTCCAACCCATGAGTCACGATTCCAGCTTCTCTTACTGAGGTTTCGGTGACCAGAAAATATCATTAACCTTGACACAGGTGTGGTTCATTGCCTACTGCACGAAAGTGCACGTGGTTACCGAGCCGTTTTAAATTTTTTCCGACCCAAGCCGAGACTGAATACTGAGTAACTAAAGTACTTTCACATGTTAGCGTAACTGTTCTTCAAAGTGCTTCACTCAACGTTCCAACCATGTCATGAAAGGATATCAAAGACCCATCGTTTTCCAATATAATCTTTCTAGTTAGTTTATCGTCTTTCGCATGCGTTCCCGTAATAAAGCCTAAACAACTACCGAAAATAACCAGTAAAAATGCCTTCTGAAATAGTGGAGAATATTTGCAGCTCTGGTGGATGATCTTGACTGAGTTGCGTTTTCTGAGCTAGGGTGGTTTAATCGTGAAGCTTTATTTTTCTTTCCAGACATCATCAGCACTAACTTCAGTATGATGTAAGCTATCAGTATTTCTTTTCTAGTAGCTTGCCTTGATGAGGTAGTTTGTGATTGGTTGTCTCCTGTAGTTGTTGCGTCACTGGTCCCATATATTTTCCTGTTGGCTGCTTCCCTGCCTGACCTCTGACCTTGAAGTTGTTTATATTTTTCCGATTGATTGATAGATTAGGCTTACGTCTATGCATCTCCTGATTGCTGATTGACCTAAATGCCAAGCTTGTAGGAATTCTCTGATATTCTTTGTTCCCTCTATCCGAAATTTCTAGGTTGTCAAGGTTGAATTCATGTCTGTAGCTATCCGCATGTATTGAGATGAGCAACAAAATGTGTTGTTTAGTAGGCAACTAGTGTACATGTAAACGAAGGCGAAGAGGGCGACGACTGTCTAATGTTAGTACTGGTCGCAGTTTTTGCAGTTGACTATTTAAGTAATACTTGGTATGTCTCCTCTCGCTGTTGCACCTTTTGACCCGCATAGTATGGTTTAAAGGGAACTTCTGGTTTGTGGGTCATAACAATGCCAAGCGGTCTCAGTAATCTTGTCGTGATATCTAATATGTCCTTCATGTACGGTAGGATGATCCGTTTGCTGATTTCGATGGATGACTTTATAGTTGATAATGAACGGGATAGGCATGCGATGAAGTTTCGTGAGTAACCGTTCCTCCTTAGGATATATATCAGGTAATTTTCTTCTTTTTTTCCGTGAAGTTGCACTGCAAATTGTTCCTTCTCTTTTAAATAGATTCTGTACGCAACTAATCTTGTGTCCCGTTTGGTTTTTGCTAATGTAGTTTAGGATTTGGTCGGTAAGAACTTACCTCCCATACACTTGAGTTTCCGATTTTCCAGCATTGGTTCTACTAAGATATCTAGTGAGGGCAGTTGAGTGTTCGACTCCATTGTCATAAGTTTTCATATAATAATTGGTGCTCATGACGTATTACATACAATTTGTACTGGTTTGAGTCACATCCTCACTTTCTAGCAGAGTGAAAAAGGCTTTACTCTTGTGTTTTCTTTGGGTCCACGAAAATACGGACACACATGCCCGAACAAACTCATATTTAAAGTCAATCGAGAATCGTACCTTCTTTATTCTTATTCAGCTTTATCATAGACGTGTTTATGGAGGTCTTCCTCACCTCACCTGACCACAGGAATTGATATAGTCACGGTAAACTTTAGTAGGGGTACAGTACGCTGAGGGTCATGCTTGGTGAAGACACTGACAAGCTGCACTCTACTGGACACCTTCAGTGGCAACGTGAGAATATTAGGAATGAGTTTATAGTCACTGAAATGAAAATCGTCGCTCTTGGACTGGTCTTCATTGGTGCCCTGTCTAACAGTAGGGAGTGAAACGGTTAATCACACTGACCACTTCACTTAAGAAGTGGGATCAACCCTGGTGGGATTGTGACAGGTGAAGCCTCTGCACGGATACAACGGTTCTCTTGGCTTTCGCCAATTTACACCACCTACAGCGCTGCTGTGATATCGGATTGTTTAATAACGGTTGAGGGTACTGCGTTGCAGTTCTCTCTGTTCTACTGTATGGTTGTGAAACATGGCCATTAAGGGTAGAATATACGAGGCGAATTGAGGTGTTCGACCGCCGTTGCCTTTTTATCATAAGCCGTGTTGTGGTTATACCACGTGGGTAACGTAGAAAGCAAGGGTAGAGTTTCGGGCAGAAGAGGAAAGTCATTTGATGAGGTTGTGAACCTTGATTGAGTCAGATGGCTGGGACATGTGTTGCGCCCGGTCGATAGCTTCTATCTTGATGTGGGGTCGCGTTTGCATATCACAGTGACCCAACGAGCTATGCTTATGGGACACTTGTTCCCTCGAAGCAACCGATGTAGGTCCAGACTGGAAAAAGGTTCGAGGCGGCCATACCAAAAAATGACATCAATGTATGAAGTCTTTGACTGTTGGTTTGAGTCCTGTGGGGCGATGCAGACTCGCCGGTTGGGGTCCACGGAACAAGAGAAACCAGTAGTTGGAGACTCTATGTGATAGAGCTGAGAACCGATGTCAGTGGCGCAAATGTATACACACATTATCCTCATCTTGACGCTATACCGAATCTCACCATTTTCTCATTCTTCCTTTCTCGCTTTCAGTACTTTATACTTCTTTTGACTGAATTTTCTTTTCTTCATCTTCCACTTCACTGCCTTTTTACTTGATGTACCGATATAAGCTGTAGCAACTCGGATCATTACGCAGTAATCCCTGGCCCTATGTTGATTTGGATGGATGGATTGACATGTGTTACGCATGCCTAGTTACAGTCTACCTTGTCACACAATGTCAACTGAATTAAGTTTAGAGTTGGAAAAGGATAGAAGTGACCAGATTAAAACATGTCATCATTGCATGATGTCTTTCACTGTTGGTGTGAGGCGTGTAAGGTAATATCGACTTCCTGATTGAGGTCTATGTAGCATCGGAATTCGATGGTTGGACACTAGGTGATATGGCTCATAATAAATCCTAATGACAGTTGCATCCACGCATTATCTTCCTCTTAATCGTCATATCCTATTTTATTACTTGCTTCAAGGTCTCTTTTATGTTTATGACTTTTGATTACTTTATTATTTAATTCTCTTTCTTCTTGTTACTTTGTGTTTTGATGAGGTGTGGTTACTTGGACCATTACTGCTTAGTATTAAGTCCTATTTTAATACTGATTTGACTTCGCTCTTGGGGTTTGAAAACATACTGCAAAAATAGTTTCAGTGCTGTACTAGTGCAGCGTGAAGGATGACTTCTCGAGATTCAATGTGTACGTCATTGACTTGGTCACGATGAGTATCAACTGAGAGCGTGTTTCTGTATGTTTAAAGTGAGTGCTGGCTAGGAACAAATGACTGTCAAAAATAAATTGTAGAGAATAACCACACTTGTCGGTTAGTCAGCATTGAATACTGTAAAATGCCTTTCCAATTATCTCAGCTTTCCAGGTTGTATATTGAAGTCGCTTGCTGCTAAGACAATCTTAGCGCATCGCTTTATTCAGCGAAATAGATATGTTTTTTGGTGAAACTCATCATTTATGCTCTCCGACCTACAGCCATTAGGGCACCTAGGTGGAGGATAAACGTAGACGCTACCTAGTGTCACAGTCTTTTTGTTCTTACGCATCCACTCAGATGGAGGGTGTACGATATATTATCAGTTGATATCCAGTTTGAAAAGCGCTTTCTCTGAGTTAGTATCATACTTACACTAGGAAGTCTACAAACACTAGTTATCAAATACCCGGGAGTGTTTTAATTCATGAACTGACCTGTTGTAACCTCGGCTTTCCAATAAGGGAAGGCAGCATTAAAATGAAGTTCTGATTATCTCTGGGACACACTACTTTCTTCATACTCCGTTCAATCACCAGTATGATTTCGCGTAAATTATTTGCACTATGGGGATTACTTTTGGCTTTACCGCCGTTGAACGAACCTTTCTGGTATGTTACGATCAAATAGAACTATCGATCCAGCGAGCCTAGTTCATATGGTCATTGCAGTAAGCATGCCAGATCGCCACACCAAGGTAGCGTTTATTGGTTGGGGTATTTTAAACTTCGAGAATTTTTTCCCCTTTCTGAATAAATAACAAAGAACATATGTATATTATCCTTTTCAGTCTAAATGCTGTTAACTAATGTTCGATATGGACGTTATATACCGTGGAAAAGTGTTCCTGGGAGTCTTTGGGCTGGTAAACAGCGGAAAATTCCACGTCTGACTAATGCTCGTAAAGAGGCTTTTTTGGATGGACTTTTAATGTCACATCAAAACCATAAATACCTTCAAAAACCCTATTTCAACGAAGAAGTCGAAGCTGCTACCTTAGCCGAGGAGAAGGTAATCTCTTTGATCTCATACTCTTGTTCCAAATTTTTATTTTAAACAGAATTGCGTTTCGAAAACCATGAGATTCAAAATAATATATCACTAGCCAACTGCGAATAATCAGTTTTGAGTGGTGAAATGCAACTGAGAGAACTATACTATAAGCCTCGTTTATTATATCAGAGTTAATTTATTTCCCTGCTCAAACCCTAGTGGGTTGGGTGGGCTACAAGCTCATGACTGACTAACTGACAACTAAGTGGCTAATATTAAAAAGCTATATGTCCACATCGTATTGAACTATGGCTCACAGGTCTAAAAGTTCACTTTTGGCCAGTGAGTCTCGGGTTACAATTCCGCTCCACCTACCGATATTTGGACAGTCACTCAGTATTATTAGCCCTCAAACAGTAGGTGTGACTCATTGCCTGGTGCATATAAGTGCACTTGGTTGCTGAGAGAGTTAGGTTCGCATCAAAGGTCAAAGGATCCTGAAACATATTATAACCACTGTATCCAATAATTCCCGGTTTTAGGCGACCAGATAGTATCATAAACCACATCTAATTAACTGTGCCTCATAGCCTAGTACATAAGATATGTCAGACAGACAAAATCAACATACAACCTGAAATTACTGCGTAGAGACCCAAGTTGTAACACATATCAGCGCATTAGGTGAGAATGCACTGAAATAAAGAAATGACACACAAAACCGACATCATTTTCCTTACACAGGTGCATCGGCTCAATTTACCACACGTCACAGTAGTACACAATGAACAGGAAGAGGAAAAAGCAGTGAGATCAAAGTAGGTAAATTAGTGTGAGAATAAACAATCTGAAAATAATGGTTAATGCAAATATCCAAGTCTTAGAAGACACCAAAGAGTCAATGCATTTGCGCCACTGCGACCGATTTTCAGCCATATCACCAAGATTCCTCTCCTCTCGGGGACCTCAGATGAACAGTTTGAATATCCACATACATCTCAGACCAACAGTCAGAGATTTCATCGATTAATGTCACGTCTCGGTCTGGTTACCCTGAACCCTTTTCCATCCTAATACAACTCCTAGCACGATATGTCGAGGTAGGCGATGGCTCGGCATGCGCAGTACATGTCCAAGCCATCTCAGTCGACTATGGCTCCAAACCTCATCAATCGACTTGCGTAGTATCCTTCGCCTGACCTCAACATTGCTAATACGATGACTCCATCAAACGTGAGCAACGTTACGGGGACATCTGTGATCAAAACCCTGGAATCGCTTCATATCTTCTACTTTTAACAAGCCGTATAAGAGGACAGAACAAACTGTAGCGTAGTATACTCGCCCTTTGATAAATAGTCAGATATTTCGCCAGTCGGCGCCACAGGTGATGCCCAAACGGGCCTTCCACCACTTCACTATATCATTAAACTGGTAGAAGTTGCAACAAACCAGTCCTGGAGCATCGTCTTACAGTTAACAGATGCGAAACACATGCCAGTCAAACATACTCAAATTTCTGCTCAACGCGTCGCGGAGACCCTGTATGCAATTTGTCAGCCTCTTCACCTTGAAGTAGGGACAACATCGTCTGCATACTCCAAGTCAACCAGATGACTTCCAGGGGGTAGATCGACTCCTGTTAACCCAGATGTACCCAAGGTCATGTCCATTAGCATACCTATGCCACAATACCGCACGGTCGACAGAGTCCTTTTTCTTGACCTGAAGGCATCATTCGATTCTATCAAAAGTGGTAGAAAGTGATCAAAATATAGCAAGGAGGAATCGGAAAATACAGAATTTCAATTTGACGATTAAAATAATAATGCATAGGTACATCTGTGCGTTATCACTCATATCCAAAACTAGAATCTGATTGGACAGTGAAGTTTCTGCCTTAGCACTTCTTGCTACATCCACACCTGCGAGAACATGAGAACTAGCTACTGAATATCCAAAAACCCGAAGAGTGAATTTCACAGGTTCACCGTATTGACCGACTGAGGATAAGTGAATAATCCCACCTGCGTCTCTCACAAACATAACACACGCCGATAATCGGTCCGAAATGTGTTCCGATTCGAAGGAGTGTGTGGACATTAGAAGCTCGGATTTATAGTTTGGAGTGCGGTTTTAAGATACTAGGAATGCTACTCCGTCAGCTCGAAGCATTAAAAATGGCTGCAGAGCTGGAACAATTGAAAGATTATGTAGGATTATTGACCGAGAGACTGGAAGAAAGATTCGAAGACAAAATATTGAAGGGAGCTGAGTGCTGACAGAGTTGTGAAGGTGGTTGAGACTTCCCAGCATCCCACACCGTGGAAGGCTAGTTCTTCTTGAGGTACCAGAGGAAGAATTTATCCTGGTAGTAGTTGTGTGTGGTCACAGAGCCCAAAGGATATCTGCTGCAAGTTGGTCACATACGGCCATTTGGGAAGTTTGAGATGTTAGTTAGTTTGTCTCGAATCCAGCTCTAATTTCATAACACAACCTCTGGAAGACCAAAGAGTAAGGAGGAATGCGCTATTTTTTATGGGGGGGTGGCGGGGAAGAGTGTCTACCTATTCTTACTGTTTGCCTCACATCGGGAAGGCTGCATTAGCTTGGTACTGCTGATCGTCTACGAAAAAAATCCTTCTGCTTTTACACCCGATCCAGCTAGCAGTACGAATTCGCCCTCAGTTACTGGTATTTATAGTGTAGTAAGTTGCTCTGTAATGCTAACTGATTTCTGTCGTACCACTGTCCAACTAACCTTTTTGGTATCGTATGACCTCAAGGGAAAGTGTGTTTCACTAGTATAATTCGTTCGATTATTGTGATATTCTGGTCCGATCATCCCTGGAAGGTAGTAGTCGTGTGTCAGATGAGTATTTGTACGATTTCTGTCGGTTGGATTTTCAACTGCCTGCCGTACCAAGGGTGGCTTTCTATAATCTGGGTCATCTTTGATGCCGTATTTATTCTGTCTTTGCTGTAAGGTTTCATTTCTGCAACGCCTGGGTGTTAATGGGTCTACTCTCCCCCTGTGTAAGCTGACCTGTGATCTGTGAAAGACAAACTGCTCAGAGTTTTTGATCACTTTTTCTCTGCTGGATTGCTTGGGTTTGGTGGTAACACCATGTAAGTAATTTTGAAGTGATGTCTTGTGTGTTAGTACTGTCATTCACTGGATGGGATCATCATTTAATACCGCCTTGTGTCCCTAGCAGCGTTCGCACTGCTTCCTCCGGACCATAGTGATTGGGATTGCACATCAAAATTACCCAAGTTACACTCTCTGGAATGCTTGTTCCTTGAGCTTCTACCATGCCGGAAAGGTCGGTTGGATGATGCTAAAACGAAAAGCCCTAACAGTTATATTGTAAATTGCTATACTATGATTGGGGGTGGGACGTAGTCATACTGCTAATCGGACTGGGTTGTGACAGCAGTAAGGTGTTCCCCACGGATGACCTGCAATACCATGCTGATTCTACCTTCTTAGTGGGAAGGAAAGGCAAGAAAGATCGACCACAAAAGTAGCACACTTCTTTTTTTCCCATAGTAGTATGTATTTTCTCTACCTAGCCTTAAAAAAATCAAGTCTCAGACCAGCAATCCTCAAACGACTGTGTGCGATAGGCCTCAAGCAGATGTTCCATTGGCACTGCAGACACACTTTTTTGAGGTACCCGGTCAGGAAAGTAGGTCTATGTTCCAGAACCCGTCACTGATTAACACGCGGAAACTACTTGGACTTACTAAGGATACTGGCAACAAGAAGATGGTGAATGAAACTATCACCGAAAACGATAGAATGCTACTGGGAAACGTAACAGTTAAAAGTTGAGGATATGAATCGGTTACAGGTTTTTGACGATGATTGTCTTTGTAGCATTGCTCACTTATGACTAAATCATGGTGTAAGCAATACAGAAGTCAAGTGATAAGTAAAATTCACTGAAGAGAAGGCATTCGATAAGTTTGTGAACCTTAGTCGATTGAGATGGCTTGATCGTGTGTTGCGTGTGCCGAGCCACCACCGACTACCTCGATGTGCAGTGCTAGAGAAAGTTGGACTAGATTAGAAGTGGGTTCAGGATGATGAGACCAAGATGTAGCAGGAGTGGATGAAGTTTCTGTTTGTTGGTCCGAGGCTTTTAAGTAAGTTAGACTTCCTGGTTGAGGTCATTGAGATGATAGAAATCTTGGTTGCAAAATCGTGGTAACGTAGCTGAAAGTCGATCAGAATGGTGCAGGTGTATATTTGCTCTTTGATGTCTTCCAGTGCGTGTATATTTCCCCTAACTATCGTTTTTAAATCCTCTTTCCTCCTGTACACTTTTGTCTGCTTTGATATGTGTCTTTTTCCATGCGCTTTTTCTCATGCTGCTGTGATGTGTGACAACAGATGCATTTGCTTGCTTGGTTCTCCACTGACTTTGTATGTCTGACGCCGTTCACCGTTCAGTTTCTTTGGGACTGGTCAAAAGAGACAAACAGATCGCCAATGTACGACTTATGAGGGATATTTATGCTGGGTTAGTATCTATAGCTGCCTATCTATTTCTTGTATGGCGTATGGGGATCATTCAGCTTGGTGCTCAAATTCATATAAACTGTAATCTAAACCAGTTGTAGTCATGCTGTATCTCTCGTTTGTTTCATACCACTGAAAGGTAAAGTGAGAGTTGTGAGTACTTCTTTGATACATCATTGAGATTGCTTCTTTAGTAACCCTTTTTGTGTTACTTCCGTTCTTCCCCCTTTTTGTATCGTGGTGTTACCGTCTTATTATTATTATTTTCCTCTTGGGTTCCTAGTGGAACATAAGGCTTCAGTAGCATGCCTCCATTGAAATCTGTTCTCCGCAGTCTTTTGAACCTGCCTCCACGACTGCTCACAAGCTTTCATTTCTTCCTCACTTGATCTCCATATCACCTTCATCTGGGACGCCCAACTCATCGTTTCCCCTTTGGGTTCCACTCGAGTGCCTGATGTGTGATGTCCCCCTTCTCATTGTATGCCCAATCCATCTCTACTTTCTTCTGCATATTTGTTGGGTAATAGGTTCTTGGTTGGTTCGTTGGCAGACCAGAATTCCTTGTTGCTTATTCTTTCTGGCCATCTGATCTTCATTATCGAGTGGGCGTAGGCGGCAGCTGTTGATGAGGTATGTCTTTAGTTTGTGACACGCCAAGTTTCTGAACCATATAGAAGCACTGACTTGACTGAATCAGTGTTGAAAATACGGATCTTTATGCTGAGTGCAGTAGATCTCCACAGTGATTTCAGATTAATGAAAGCCTATCTCGCTTTTCCGATCCTGGTTTTGATATCCTCATTTGTGCCGCCGCCTGTAGTTGAAACGATGCTGCTTAGGTAGGTGAAGAAGACAACTTCCTTTAGGTTTCTCCCGTTAATGGTGATTGGTGCTTGTTGTTGATGCTGTTGTTGGTTAGGTATCTTCATCACCTCCGTCTTCTCTACATTTACCTTAAGGAAGTCCCGTTTTTGCTGCCTCTTCCGTCAACTTGTGTCTTAGTGTTATAATATGTTGTATGCTGTGTCTCTTGGTGGTCATGTTTTGTAAGTTTGTGTTTTCATTACTCAAGCGCCTTCTACTCTTCATACTCCTGTCTAAAACTTCTACAGTTGTATATACTCTTACGCTGCCGCCACAATATATTCTTTAGATGGGTGATTAGACCTTAAGAGCACTAGAGTTTACACTGGATCGGGTCTGTCAATTGTTTGTTTTTCGTATGTGTTTTTTTTCAGATGTTTGATTTTCTGGGAATTGGAATTTCTTTCTTTCTTTACGTCCTATTTTGCGGTTGAGAAACGACTGTTAGTAGTATGAAAAAATGTGAAGAGGTTGCAGGTTTCTTACCAAGGTGTCTTGACAGTACTGCTTATTTTGGATGGATACAGTATATAATCAGTTTTGATGTTCAGTACAGGATAGTTGGCAGGGAAGGCAAGTCAGTCGACGCAGTTTGAACATTCAACGACTGAGGTGGCTTTGGTATGTTGCGCATGCCGAGCTGCCGGCTAATTGATGTGTGATGTTGACCAAAGTACGGTTACATTGGAAAAGACTTAGAGTAACCTAAATTATATATAACATTAGTTCATAAAGTCTTTGTTCTATAGAGGAAGGGGGTGTAGACTACCCGTTCGGGTCTTAAGGAGGATAGGAATCAGTGTTTGAAGACTAAGTGATATGGTTAAAAATCAGTCACAGTGGCCCTGATGTGTACACTTTTTTCTTACCTACTTGTTTCCTTGCATGCTGCTGTGATGTGTAACAACTTGAACTGATGCATTCGTTTAGCAAGTTCTATTCTGAGTTATCTGTCTATCCTTTTCTTTTTAAGTAAGCGTTCATAACAGAAATATCTTTTAATATTTTCCTGCTTGGGTGTATAGGAAGATAAAGTATTCTATGATCGTTATGCTACGCAATTCAATCTTCGTTTCCCTACACGTAAACTGGAGACATTTTGGGATAAGTTGTCTGTAACTAAACGTTTTGATGTATAAATAATCGGATACAATAATGATATTGTCTGTGTTTTTCCTCTCTTTATCTGATACAGTGTGGGAATTATATATTTGTACACATGAATACTCAAATTAACCGTAGGTAATTTAATGTTTTAGAGTACATTTTGAATATAATCAGTTTTAAACGTACACTCGCCTGTGAGTGGATTTCAACCAATGATTTTGGATAGTTGCAGTGAATTTTTTCTTATGGGTATCATGGAAAGATGACAATGAAGAAACTGGAAGACAGTGAATATATGCATTTGCCAATTTTATAACTTGCAACACAGTGCTCAGATTCAGCCTCCTCCAGAGCTGGATTATACATGTAATAGTATTTTAACTGCGAGGTATGCTCAAATGGAACTTGAAGCTACAACTCATTAAAATGTTGGGAAATCTTTTCTTCAGGATGTTCGCTGATGAATATCACCTGAATTACGAGATAGTATACTGCGCCTGATGTAAATATGAAGAATAGGCATCAGTAACTGTAGTATACTATTGGTTAACTTTCATAGACGCAAGTGCTTATTGAAATTATTCTCTATATTGCTTTCACTGATCCGAGCTGAAACTGAATGGGACGTAGATGTCGTTTGTCCAACTCTTTATGAAGTTGAGAAAGCTGTTTCAACCCTGAAACGATACAAAGCAGCAGGGCGTCACAGTTTGCCACCCGAAGTTTTCAAGAATATAGGTAGGAATTCACTGATAAGGTTCACCGAGGTACTAAGTAGTGTATAGGAATGAGAGTTAGTGTCGTCAGATTGGTGTACTTCACTGATCATCGCAGTCTATAAAAACGGAGTAAAGTGTTCTTTTGATAACCATAGGGGAGAACAGTTTGACTAAAATTGTATCCAAGGTACTATAGTCCATAGTTATTCGACACCTAACTGGACCTCAAGAACAGCAAACTCGAGGAAACCAGGGAGGTTTGAGGCAGGCATCCATCAGACCTTTACCCTTCATCAGGTCTTGGAATCAAGGCACATCTACCGGCCGATTCCCGACACTTGCCATATTTCTTGACCTGGAGGTAGCATTCCACACTGTCGACTGTGAGGTGTAGTGGCAGTGTCTGACTGTGAAGGGAGCAGCGAGCAAGTATATAACATTAATCAAAGCTCTCAACTCGAACTCACACAGCTGTGTCAGCGCTTGTGGAGAGTTGTCATGTGAATTGACGATGACTAGTGGTGTCCACCAGAGATGTCCACTGTCACCGTTCCTATTTAACTTAGTCATAGGTATGCTAATGGACATGACCTTGGGTACATCTGGGTTAACAGGAGTCGATCTACCCCTGGAAGTCATCTGGTTGACTTGGAGTATGCAGACGATGTTGTCCCTACTTCAAGGTGAAGAGGCTGACAAATTGCATACAGGGTCTCCGCGACGCGTTGAGCAGAAATTTGAGTATGTTTGACTGGCATGTGTTTCGCATCTGTTAACTGTAAGACGATGCTCCAGGACTGGTTTGTTGCAACTTCTACCAGTTTAATGATATAGTGAAGTGGTGGAAGGCCCGTTTGGGCATCACCTGTGGCGCCGACTGGCGAAATATCTGACTATTTATCAAAGGGCGAGTATACTACGCTACAGTTCGTTCTGTCCTCTTATACGGCTTGTTAAAAGTAGAAGATATGAAGCGATTCCAGGGTTTTGATCACAGATGTCTTCGTGGCATTGCTCTCGTTTTGTGGAATCATCGTGTGGACGACACTGGTCGAAAATATTATCATCGTTGAGTTTTTGTTTCATCACGGCCACCAGATTCACCCCATCGGTCACTACTTCAGGAATCGTCTGTCGAAGCTGGTTACCAATATGCGCTTAATCAATTTTAGTTGAGGATTTGTGGGTATTCAAGAATTTCAAGTTTGTATTCAGGATGAACTGACATCAGTTGGCAGAGCACTGGACACCTGGGAGCTCTAAACAACAGTCTTGTCCCAGTATGGGACACCCAGACAGTGCGCACCCACGACCTCGCCTTGAATCGAACCCAGAGTTTTCAGGTTCCGTGGCCAGGACGTTACCATCTAGCCACTGGGTCAGAATCCATTGGTATAGTCAAGGAGGTTTGATGTTCAGACCAGATCATCGGTATTTTAGGTGTTTAAAACAAATCTTTCTGGGGGTTAATGAAAGGAGGGAGTCAATCGGGGTTGTCAAAGTCTATAGAATCTGAATCTGAGAAAAGATATCAGTTTTACTTTAAGGTTGGAAGTCACGGTGGTTATAAGTTTCCGACTCTGTTCGTGTTTCTCAAAACGAAAAAGTCATTGGACCTTTGTTGTGGTTCTGTATTGTTTTGAAAATGTGTATTCCTTTCCCGTAAAATCCTCATCGTCTTCAAAATCTGCATCTAACAATCTTCTCTATTATTCGACTGTTTATTACCATTTTGGTCATCGTAATAATATTGTCTATTTATTTCCGAGGCTGATGTGTATATTTATTCACACGAACACATGATTGTATCGACTACAGTTTTTATCTCGCAAGCTGTAGAGCATTCGTCATCCTTATTTGGAAGGATTTAGTTCACAGAATACAGTCAACCTATGCCGTCTTTAGTTCTGGTGAGACACCTAACCCCCATATTAAAGAAAGAGTATGCTGCTCAGAGTTGTGCTCTGTTGTGTTTTACGGCTGTGAGGCATCCCTGTAGAAAGTCAAAAGCCACAGGTTTGTAATCGCAGCTGCCTTCGAAGCATTGCTTACTTGTGAAGTCACCATGTGACCAATTCTGTGGTTAGGCCTATTAAATTAGTCGATGAGGTTGTGAAGCTTCAACGACTGAGTTGACTTGAACGTAAATTCTGCACGTCAAGCCACAACCAAATTTAACATGTGTAGTAAAGTAGGATTAGGTTGGAAGAAGGCTAATGGTGGTCAAACGGACACGTAGCAGCAGTCCATGAAGTCTTAGATTATTGATCTGGGTTGCGTAGAGGCGAGTAGATTCCCTCTCTGGAGACGATGAGAATCAGTGATTGAAGACTCTGAGTAATATTAATTATGTTGCGTTCTCTGAGCTGGATGGTTTAATTGCGAAGCTTTCATTATCATTCTAGACAACATCATGAGCACTTCCTTCAATATGAAGTGAATTATCAGTCTTAATCCATGAGTGATTCACTAGCGTGCTCTGATAAATATTGGTTACAGTGGCACAGGTGTGTATGCTTTTGGCTATCTTGAAAATTCAACCAACCTTTTATTTATGGACCTTCCTAACATCCAATTATGTCTACCGACCGATGGCTGTTACCTTTTAGTGATGATTGGACCAGAATATCGCAGTGATCAAACGAGCCATGGTGATGGAACACTTCTTCTCTTGAGATCCTACTATTCCAAAGAGGTCACTTGAATGGCGGTAATACAAGAAGCTGTTACCGTTGCCGTATAAATTGCTACACTGGGATATGGGGGTTTGTGAGGGTGAAGTTATACAGCTGGCTGGATAGAGTGTGACAGCAGTAAGAGGTGTTTCCCTTGGATGGCCAGCAGTGTTACGCGGATGCTGCCTTCGCTATGGGAAGGAGGACGGTTGGAAAAGGTTGGCCCTACAAACAGCACACGCCTCTCTGCCTCACGGTCTTTCGGTACCGGTGGTGTGGGTGTTTTTTATCCGGTTTTAGAACATCCAAACCTCAAAACAAAAGGTCATGTGTGACTTCAAGCAGATGTCCCATTGACTCCACAGTCACACAAGTCTTTTTTCCTTCAGATACCTTAGGAAGAAATAGTCTTACACAGTGTGGTCAGCTGGGAAGTGTTAACCGCCGGCACGTTTCCAGTATTATGCAAAATCGAACCAAACATAACCTACCCGTTTTACCTCTGTTTCCTTCTTTACCTTCATTTGCTGATACGAATATTAGTTCTCTTACAACTTCATCAATTTCCCACTATACGACTATTGTCAACGATCGGAGCCGTTGAAACTGATGCCTATTTATAATCTCCGCCTAAACACCCATCGACTGCAGTTGGGATGATGCCGACGACAAATTATATGAGAAGCTGTCAATTACTCCACATAGGGCAAGACCTTCAGAATAAGTCATAATAGTAGACAACTTCAACGCTGGAGTGGGGAGCTGGACCAATCGGAAAAACATTTTGGAAGTATCCACCGGATCGCATGTCAATTACTTGATGATGGTGATCGTCTGTTGGAATTTTCTTCTAATAATCACTTGTTTGTGGCTAGCACTAACTTTGAGCATAAGTCAAGATACTTTATCACATGCCATCCACCGAAATCAAACTAATGATGGACGCAGATTAATCATATTGCTATTAGTCATTGTTGTAGAGGATTGCCGCTATTTATAGAGTACGTGTTTGAACTCCGACTATGCGTTAGTTTAAGCACTTGTATGTCTGCGCCTTACTGGTAGCAGGAAACGAGCTATCTGAACATGACAGCAATGCTCATCTTGTGGAAGCCTGGCATGATATTCAGTTTTTTGTAGAAACAACTGTAAAGACAGTTAGTTGGTAACCTACATTTAAACCTTAGCGAACGTCAGTGGCTTTCCGCAACGTCATCCTAGCTGATTGATGTGAGAAGCTTGATTCTAGTTGGCTCCGATTACAATGAGTAGCGGAAGCAACTTGAACGTAGACTAATTGCGAGTCTTCACAATGATGACCGTGAACAGTGGCGGGTGACGAAAGCGAGAGAGATAGAGAAGGCGTCAGGATTAGGTAATACTCAGGAATTGTTAAGGCTTATTAGTGGTACTGTCAAGAAAAAGAGGATTGTGGTCGAAGCAGTGGCTAAGAAGTATGGTTTACCGATGACCTTTCAGGACAGGCGGCCAGAACGTTGTATGGACCACTTTGAACCACAGTTCGACTAGCCCACACCAACGCTTGACTTTCCAAGCATGCAGCCTGAATCTGTATGGAACGTAGATGTTGGTCCTTCAACTTTCGCTGGAGTTGAGAAAGCTGTTTCAACCCTGAAA